AATGAAGAGATTTTTCAACAATGGTCATTAGAACGAAAGTATATTCACTTACCAATATCTAAAATGACGGAACATTTAAACAATCATCATTAGAACGCCACTATATTTTAGCGCAAAATCCTAGAATGAAAAACCATTTACAAATGTTCGGTAGAATGACAATATATTTTGCCATCAACCAATAATACAAAAGAACATTTCACGAATCGTCGATAGAGTGCCACTATCTTTTTGCACCAAACACTAGAATGAAGGAATATTTCAACAATGGTCATTAGATCCACAGTATATTTTGACACCAATCACTAGAATAGAGTAACATTTCAAAAGTAATCGTTGAAGCGACATTAACATTTGGCACCAATCATTAGAATGACGGAAATTTTCGACAATGACATTTAGAGCGACCGTATATTTTGGCACCAATCACTAGAATGAAATAAAACTTCGACAACGTACTTCAGATCGTTGATATATTTTTCAGTCATTCACTAGAAGAAATGAATTTTTTGACGATGGTTGTTAGAGCGACAGTATATTTTGGCAACAATCATTAAAATGAATGAACACATCAACAATATTCGTTAGCTTCCTTTTCAGTATATGTTGGCTCAAATCCCTAAAATGAAGGAACATTTCAGTCACGGTCGTTTCAGTGCCAGCATATTTTGGCCCCAATAACTAGAAGTAAGGAACATTTCAACAATAGTCGTTTGACCGAGAATATATTTTGGCATCACTCACTAGAATGAAGGAACATTTCATCAATTGAGCGCTAGTATGTTTTGGCACCAACCAATTGAATGAAGCAAAATTTAAGGAACATACCGACAATGATTTTCTTGAATAAATGGACTAATTTAGACGGTTAACGTAATGGCCATATATTTTGATACCAACCTGTATTATGAAGGTAAATTTACAATAATGTTCTTTAGAGCGACAGTAATTTTTGGCACTAATCAACAGAATGAAGAACTTTCTGACAATGGCATTTAGAGCCACCGTATATTTTGCTAATCACTAAAATCAAGGAAAATTTAAGCAACATACCGACAATGACCTTTAGAACGACAATATATTTAGCCAGCAATATCTATATTGAAGTAACAATCTGACAGTGACCTTCAGAGCGATAGTACATTTTGACAATACTCTCTAGGAAGGACAATGACTGAGAAACCCTCTGTAAATTTTAGCAGCAAGCACTTTATCATTCCGACAATGGTCATTAGAGCATCAGTATATTTCAACACCCGTCACTCGAATGAAGGAATATTTAAACTATGGGTTTTCGAGCGATAATATCTGTTGGTCCCATTTATTAGAATGAAGTAACATTTCAACAATGGTCGTTACACCGGAAGTATGATTTGGCACCAATCCCTCAAGAGGAGGAACTTTTCAACAAGCAATGAAGATTTGATAATGGACTTTAGATCGATTATATATTTTGACACCAATCATTATAATAAATGAACATTTAAAAAATTATCGTTAGAGCGAAGGAGTATTTTAGCACCAAATACTAGAATAAAAGAACATTTCGACAATTATCTTCAGACCGTTAGTAACTTTTGGCACCAATCACTAGAATGAAGGAGAAAACAATTCTCTACGACTTAAATGTCTAGAGAGTTCCTTGATTGCAAAGTCAACTACAGTCAAGTTGAGTCTTGGCTTTTAAAATATTTCACCATTCCTGACACATCTTTTATTATTACAGTTTTGAATAACTACTTAAAAAAGTTATGGAAAGAAAAAGAAAGATAATCTAAATGATTATCGCTAGATATAAAAAAAAAGGAATGACTTTTTTTTTTAAAATTCTAAAAATTTCTAAAATCCTCGGCACCGCTCATTCGTACGCATCTGTAATCGTACTGACATAACAAATTTAGCCCGATTAAATCCTGAAAAACGAAACACGTCACAAGTATATATATATATATATATATATATAGTCTTAATGCCTGACGTCTGCGCCTAGCATGAAACAGCCTGTCGCCTCTAAGTGTTGACTTCAATGTTCTTTTTTATATATATATATATATATATATATATATATATATATATATATATATATATATATATATATATAATAGTTGAATTGGACTGACGAATTTTTCGTCAGTTGAAATAAGCCTATTCTCCATATAAGGAAATCTGTTATTCTATTGTTTTATTGTGTACTAATTATTTGCTCTGTAATATTAAATACATTGTGCTTTTTTGGTGGAGCAGTTTTAATATTTTATATTACTAGAATTCATATGCATTATATACCAACGGATTTATTACCTTTACTCTCTCTCTCTCTCTCTCTCTATATATATATATATATATATATATATATATATATATATATATATATATGTGAAGAAATATAGTTTTAAGGTGTGCTATACTTATGGGATAAAGTGCTCAATATCAGAGATAGAGCGTATGTAAATATAAATATAAAAGTGAACATTGAAATCAACACTCACAGACAACAGGCTGTTTCACGCTGGACGCAATCGTCAGGCCAGTTATATATATATATATATATATATATATATATATATATATATATATTATGGTTATACCTTTTTAAAACACTACGATCCTGTGTAATAAATCGATTACACTTTGTTCAAAATATAAAGAATAAGTCATTAATTAGTTTTATTTCTTAAAAGACGAATTCGAAAATTCGATTTAACTATAAACGGAATAGGCGTAAAAAAAAATCAAAATATTTCCGAAGGTTTATTTTGATAATTTTTTTCTAATTATGTAAATGGATCGTACTTATGGATGTTAACGGATTAACAGTTTAGAGCTATATCATAACTTACATTACAAATAAAGCAAAATTACAAACTTGTAATCGGATAGTACTTATGTATGTTTTAATGCGTTTAACAGTTTATCATTATAGGATAGTATTCAAACTGATAAAAAAACAAGTTCTAGAAGGTTCCATATTTTTTTAGAAGTCTTCAGAAATTCTAGAATGTTCCAGAATATCCTAGAAGGCTCCAGAAAGTCATATCATTACTATAGTTATAAACGATTTTAGAAAGTTCATATTGGAGCTGAGATTTTTCTTACCAAAAAACTGAATTTACTTAAAAAAAAAAACGCTTATCGTACTTTGACACAGGAAATCAATCATTTTACAAAAACTCATAACCGTAATACATATTAAGAAATGGACAAAGTCCGACAATTTATTTATTAAAGACATTTTTTATGTTTAACGTTCTTTTTATAGATAGAAGTATTTAAGTAAATGCTCTGTTTATAATAAACAGTATTAAATAACATTTACCGGCCTGAATGTCCGAGAAATTTTCATAGAAAATATTCGTCCTTTGACAGGATTCGAATCTGCATCCTATACGGAACCGTCATTTACGCTGACGTGCCTAACCTCTCGGCCACAAAGGATCGTTCGGTAGGCAAGGTTGAATTTACTGCTTATAAACTTCAAATGACGTCATATATTAAGAAATGGACAAATTCCGACAATTTATTTATTAAAGACATTTTTATCTTTAACGTCATTTGTTTACATTTGATACGCCATGAGCAGTTATGAATGTACGAGATTCATGGAAGATTGAAGTTACCGTGATTATACATATTATTTATAAGGTATACTTTCGACGTTAGCAAAATGTCATCGTCAGCGTGTAGTGTATTTCGTAAGGAATATTGTAGTGTTCTTCATCTTCAAAGACAAAATTGCTGTGTTCATTATAAATTTAAAAGTTTTTCTTTTTTACTTGTGAAGTGAAGAACACTAAGATGAGTACTATGGGATTATCTTGAGGAACGCTTCAGGTGAAATACCTAAGTTATGGTGTTGTCGACAGTTTTTTAAGAAATAAGTATTAAAACAATTAGTACAAACTTCGAAATGTTAAACTATCTACTGTAAACACACACACACAAACTCACATATATATATAAAGAAATATAGTTTTAAGGTGTGCTATATTTATGGGATAAAATGCTCAATATCAGAGATAGAACGTATGGAAATATAGATATGAAAGTGAACATTAAAGTCAAAACTCAGAGGCGGCAGGTTGTTTCATGCTGGACGCAATCGTCAGGCCGCGAATGCTGGATATTTCCTCGGCTATTTATATATGTGGGTCAGTGGTGCATTGTGGGTAATCTATTCTGGCGGTTATTTTTTGGGGAGTGGCTTTTTTGTTTATTTATTTATTTGGGTTCATTTATTTTATTTGTTTTTCATTACCATTTTGTATTATTTATTCTTTTCGTTATTTGATGTTTTATTAACGGAGTAAAAAATTGAAGGTGGGGATTGGCTTAAGTCGCTTATTTAATAGTTTGTTTTGGTCTGGGAATGGCAAATGGTTTTGGATGGCAAATGGCCTACCTCAGAAAGAAATGGCAACCTACCGCGCGAAAAAAAATCTGCCTCGTCAGTCATATATTGAAAAGAGGCATCATCGCCTAAGTGTGTATCACGTATGGCACATTACTGAAACAAATCAAACCAAACCAAACCAAGCCAGACAATAATGCCACTAAAACGCTAGAGGGTACTGGAAGTGGAAGAGTATAAAATTTTTTTAGAATGAACTGGAAACCCAGTGTTAAACAGGAAACAAGGAAAAAACCTCCGCTCCTGTTCAAAAGAGCGGAGAGGAGTGTGAACCGGACGGTAGCCAAAACTATCTACTCCTATTGCGAAAAAATAAATAGTAAACAAAATTGTAGGGTTCAGTCGGAATCGTTAGAAATATTAAGTTGAAGTAAACTTTAGAATGAACCGAAAACCCACTTATGAAAATAAAACAAAGGAAAATCCTCTAGCCCTGTCCAAAAGACCGGGGAGGAGTGTGAACCGGACGATAGATGATCCTATCAATTCCTATTAAGAAAAAAAAAACGGAAGTAATTTTTTTTTTTTTTTGTTAATTGCAATATTGCGGAGGGTTTGAGTTTACTGGTGTTTTCCAAATTATCATGCCAGATTATGTAATATAAATCCCTGTGATTGTCGTGAGCAAGATATGCGTCATTATGCCCGAAAACGCCCACGCATTACATGCGTATGGTGTCGCAGAGCAGTTGGAAGAAGGGAGAATTGGCGAATTGCACCTACGCATATGTAAAACTCTCCCACTCAACCAATCGGCTGCTTCGTCATGGTCTATAAAATGAGTGTGCCTGAAGGCTTTGGCAGTTGGGGCCGAGGGAGCCGACGAGGACGACGAGAGACGACTGCCCTGTACGTGAGTCGACTGCCCTGTACGAGAAACGACTGCTCTGTTCCAGCGGGTCCTTTTTGGTGTGACGGCTACAATCCCCTTATACGGCAGGGAATGACAAGCAATTTCCTCACGGTTGAAGAGGAAACTTGAAGCAACCAATATGTCGTTCTACACAAGGATTTTACAGTCAGGTTCACCCTGTACTATATCCAGGTGGTGGTGCACTCAAGGTAGAGGTTTACAGAGCAAGAAGCGCAGTTTATGATGACGTGTGTGGAAGATAACGATTAATTCTACATTTGAATATGTTAAAATTGTAGTGATCGAGGAAGAAAGCTGTTGGTTCCACACAGGCCAAGAAGAAGCTGCTAGAATGGATCATACTCCTTACCAATGGCAGACGATGTGAATCAGGATGGTTTGCTAGAATATCAGTGGCATAGTGAATCCTAGCTGTGGAAGTTAAAACTGGCGGAACCCAGGAATTCAGTTCGTCCGAGCACTTTCCGTGAAAGTAACGACAGATCAGTTAGAGGTTTGCCTCGTCCCGTCTGTGGGAGAAGCAAAAAGGCAGTTTTAAATAAAATGGAAAGAAAAAATTATGGTTATATCACTTAGAATCAGAAAGCGACCGCTGAAATTTCTGAGACACAAAGTGTAGAAAGAAGTCTTGGAGAACTTGTGCACTAACGGAATATAATGAAGACAAGATGGGCTGATGAAAATAGAGAATAACATATGTATCGAGTTTGTTCAAACGTATGACAGGACAGGTAATGAGTAGGATAGTAACATTCCTTAAAACTAGAAGGTTTAGAAAGATACGGGGAGGTATGAGAGGAGACAGTTCATAAAAGAACAGAAATATTATGCTATGCCTATATTCCTATCTTTTTGGTTTGTAATATTTGTAAGCTGCACTGGCAAAGAATAACAAAATATCTATTCAGTGACAGATCGATTTAACCTTTATAAAGCCTGTCGACCCATTAAACCAGCCGACCCATTAAACCAGCCGACCCATTAAACCAGTCGACCCATTAAACCAGTCAACCCATTAATCCAAATTACGAATTGGAAACATCAAAATCAAGGAAATACAATTTATAAAATATTTTAACAAAAAGCGGAAAATGTGACACTGAAATCCGATACCTGATAAATTAACAATAAACATCTGTAATTGTATTATGATAATTATTTACTTCCAATATGGCGAACAACTCTTAAAGTGCGTAATAAAATCATACAATACTAAATAATTTATTGTAAATATTTCAAATAAAAATATATAACAAAATTCTATTAACTTCTATTTACCGTATCTGCCTAAGATCAAGGACGCAGATTTTATTCATGGAATAAGTTTCGATAATTTGCATAACAAACAGGAATTCAGTTTATCGTCTAACCTAGATAACCTCCATCTGGGGTTAGCATAGGCCAGCGAAAACCATAACTTTCATAAGGTAAACTTTCGGGATTTATTTCAGGATAAAAACTACTTTTTTGGCGCCGGTAAATACGGTATACATCATATAATTACAAATCTATAGTCAATGTATAATACTCCTGATTATTTGCGAAACGAACCGTTTCCATACAAGAAACATTCGACATTCGTTAACTGAACAGTCAGCGTTGCTGTCAGTTGGAATTTATAAAAAACTTTCTCATGTAACAGTTCTTCAGAAAAATAGGATTCTCAAGTCCACTAACTGTTATCGCTCTTTTTGTATAAGGTAGTGTGGAAAGTGAACATCTTGATTATATCATTATTTCATTTTCTAGTTACATGGATATTTTCTAAGTCTATAAATGATATGTTATGAATACAAAATAAAGTACAGTGATAAGCTGTAAAAAAACAATTTAAGTATTTAGAAAATATTTTAACAAAAGGCGAAAAATGCGACACCGAAATCCGAAAGAAGATTTGGGATAAAGAAAAATGCTAAGCAACAGGACAGTTTCATAAGAAACAAAGAAAAGAGTGCTGGACTGTTACGTAATATCACTACTAAGGTTGGATTCTGGACAATCTTGTCGCAGATTTTACAAGTAACTTGAGGCAAAAGAAATGTGATTCTACTTAATGATGCTGAGAATACAAATGATTGAACATTTCAGAAACGATGAAGTTTTGGAGAAAATGGACACAAAAGCGATATTTATACTTAGATTTAGAAAGGGAGAATTGCAATTCCTAGGTCACATAATGAGGAAAGAAACCGCGGAAAAATTAATACTCACAGGACACGTTGAAGACAAAATAAACAGAGGGAATCAACGGATAATCTACGTAGCATGGGTAGCTGTTTAGCAGAACAGTGGTTTGTTTTGTTTTGTTTTGTTTTACGGCATATCAACGTCAATGGGTCATTTAATGACGACAACTTTTTTTTTTACCTGGTAATATTTTTGTTTTGTCAAAATCTATTTCTGGTGATATTTTTTTCTCAAAATTGTATAGCTGGTAATATTATTTTCAAAAACGTATTGCTGGTAATATATTTTTTTCAAAAACGTATTGCTGCCGGTAATTTTTTTTTTTTCAAAAACCTATTACTGGTAATAGTTTTTCTTCAAAAATTTATTTGTGGTAATAATTTTTTACAAAGTATTTCTGGTATTATAATCTATTTTTACACTTGCAAAATGCGTTTTACCTCAGTTTAGGGGTTAACTATTTACCCAAAGCTGGTACCCTAACAGGTGCTACCACCCCAGGTCAGGGTGGACCTGGGAACATCAGCAATTACGAGATGGTTCCACGCTCTTCAAAGCCTCCTGATGAGAGGCCTTCCTGTAGGACGTAGTTTATCGTCTTACCCTGGACGCGGATGTAGATTATCGTCATATCCAGGACAGCAGAACAGTGGTTGGAAGGTAAAGATTACTAAGATTTACAATGGAAAAGAAGTTGTGGAGAACCATTATCGCCTACGTCTTGAAGGGAGACGCGACATAGATGTGGCATATAAGATCGGACATTATTGTAATTTTCTACTCATATAAAAAATACGTTTAAAATACGTTTGCTTCTCCTTCTCTCTCTATCTCTCCCCTCCCCCTCTCTTTTCCCCTGTCTACCTCCCCCCTCTCTTTATCTCCCCTCTCTATCTCTCCTCTCTCACTCTTCTCTCTCTAAACCTCTCTCTCTTCTCTCTCCTACTACCTCTTTCTCCCTCTATCTCTATCCCCTCCCTCCCCTTTCTCTCTTTCTCCGTCTCCCTCCCCCTCTCTCTTCTTTCTCCCTCTCACTATCTCTCCCTCTCTCAATCTTCTCTCTCTAAACCTCTCTCTCTCCCCCACCTCTTTCTCTCTCTATCTCTCACCTCTCCCTTCCCTCTCTCTTTTCCCCGTCTCACTCCCTATCCCTCTTCTTTCTCCCCCTCTCTATCTCTCCCTCTCTCACGCATCTCTCTCTAAACCTCTCTCTCTTCTCTCTCCCCTACCTCTTTCTCCCTCTATCTCTATCCCTTCTCTCCTCCTTTCTCTCTCTTGGTCTATGTGTGTGTGTGTGTGTGTCTGTATGTGGGTGCGTGTGAGAGAGAGAGATATAAAAAAAGAGAAGGAGAAAAAAGTGGACGGAAGCAACCGATAATCATACAGTTGAATTTTTGCCAGCTTGCGTTCAGTCAACTTTACGGCACTTCGTCTTTCCGTCCAAGTAAGCTGTGGGTAAAATTAGACATTGCTACAGTTTTTCATCAATATTAACGCAAAAGGCGATATCTGGCGATCTCGATTGCTAACCAGAACGCGGAGGGGGGGGGGCAGGTTGGTAGGAATTGCTTGTTGGAGAGAAGAAAAAGTCAGTTGCTGATGAGGGGAGAGGAGCAAACGGGCAAAGCGAGGCACGAGGGTGGGTGGGGATGTCTGAAGAAGAAGAAAAAAAAAAGTAAAACCTTTTTATTGACATTTCTACTTCGATGTAAATTGTGCTCTTACAATTGCCCTGATGAGGAAAAAGCTCTGTAAAGATAACGAAATATCTCGTATCTTGGGTCGATTGAAAAAAGAAACAAACAAACAAACAAAGGAAGAAAGGACAAAAATTTAAGGAAAGAAGAAGAAAATAAACAAAGAAAGAAAAGAAGGAAGAAAGGAGAAGCGAATAAACAAGAAAGGAAGAAGGAAGGAAGAGAGAAAAAGAAAAAAAGAAAGAAAGAAAGAAAAGATGGGGGTAAAAAGAAGAAAGTAAACAAGAAAGAAAGAAAGAAGGGGAAAAGAACAAAAATTGAAAGAAAGAAAGAAAGAAAGAAAGAAAGAAAGAAGAAAGAAAGAAAGAAAGAAAGAACGTCTGAAGAACGAAGAAGGGAATAAACAATGAAGGAAGGGAGGAAGGGAAGAAAGAAGGGGGAGAAAGAACAAAAATTGGAGTAAAGAAGAGGAAAATAAACTAGAAAGAAAGAAAGAAAGAAAGAAAGAAAGAAAGAAAGAAAGAAAGAAAGAAAGAAAAAGAGAGAGAGAGAGGTAAGATGAAAGAATGAACAAAAGTTGGAAGAAGAAGAAAATAAGCAAGAAAGAAAAAAGAAAAGCAAAAAAAAAAGAAAGAGCATGAAAAAAAGAAGTAAATGAAAACGAAAGCGGAAAGTGACAAAGAAAGAAAGAAATCAAAAAGATTGAAGGAAAGAAGATAAAGAAAACATAAGGGAAACTAAGAAAGAAATGACGAAGAAAACGGGAAAGAAAGAAAGAAAGAAAGAAAGAAAGAAAGAAAGAAAGAAAAAGAAAGAAAGAAAGAAAATACTACGGCAGAAAAAAAAGAAAAGAAAAAGAAACATGTTAGAATGAAGGAGAAACAAGCAACAAAATTGAACGCAAAGAAAGAAGAAGATGAACAAAGAAAGAAATTGTAAAAGGTGAAGGAATTTATAATAAAAAAGAAAGAAAGAACATTGAAGAGAACGAATGTAGAAAAAGTACAAATTGTTAGGAATGTCGAACGAAAAGGGAAACAAAGAAAAAGAAACAGGATTGAAAAGAAAGAAAAAAGGACGGAAAAAATAGAAAGCAACAGATGAAGAGGTAAAGAGAACAACTTAAGGAAAGACAAAAAAAGGGAAGTCGAAAGAAAGAAAGAAAAGAAAGAAAGAAAGAAAGAAAGAAAGAAAGAAAGAAAGAAAAAAAAAGAAAGAAAGAAAGAAAGAAAGAAGGAAAGAATATTTGATTAGTCATGAGATTATCTAAGGATAATGAATTCGTGTTCGTTACAATTTTATGTGCGCTTTACACACACACACATATACATACATACATATATATATATACACCGTCTTTCTGAAAATTGTCTTGGATATAAAAATATTTTATGAACAAATATTAAATTTGATCTCATAAAGACTACGAAAATAGACCAAACATCAATTTGTAACTTGATGTACAGTGAAAGCTCTAGGGTGGAAAACAAATCTCCCCCCCCCAAAAAAAAAGAATGCCAAACGATTTTGAACTCTATCAAGGCTAGACAGGGAGGATTGATCAGCTCTAGTCCAGATATGGGAGCAATATCTATACACTCAGATAATTTGAGCTCAACGTATGCAGAAAGGGATGTCAGAGCGGAGCAAGGCTTAGCGACTAACGAAGTGTAATTGACCAGCCGAGTTCGAATTCCGATAGACTTTATTACGTTCACTTTCGCATAAATCTCAAAGTCATGAATGCAGCATTTCCTCCCCCAGCTATGGGTTAAATAGCAAGGCAGACTAGGATCTTTTGCTTCGAAGTGTCAACATTGGAACCCCGTCAAAATTTGTAGAAAATAATTCAATGCATTTAGATAATATCACTAAAAATCTCAATACAATGCAAAAGTTGGATCTCACAGAAATGTCCTCTATTTTCTGCAAAAGTAGTCTCACACGAGCTACAAATTCACATTTCCGCATTATTATTTATTAACCAATCAACGACGTTATCGCAAACGCTGTCAAGCTTTCAAAAAGCAGACGCCATTTCTGGTTACTGCTATGAAAATTGATAATATTTTCCCTTCTAAAAATAGAAATTAAAAATTGGGAGTTATATTTATTAACCAATAATCTTCTGAGTTGAGTAAATCTAACTTTGAACTTCATGTGATCCGACCTTTTCTTATATATAGCGACATGTAAATTAATTAGTTAGTCTTCAGTCTTCTTCACCGACGATATGAACAATACTGGATTCACAAATTAATTTTCTGCATGATCAAATTCTTTATTGTTTATTGATTTCTAAGTACCTTCTTGCAAATATTTACTCGCTTTTAAATTAATTCATACAATACGAAAAAAAAACACGAGAGAGATATATAAACAATCGCAATTATAGCAATAGTACAAATATTCATATTGATAGCTTGCTTGCTGACTGTTGAAATGTAGATGCATACATAAAATAACGTAAATACGAAATTTTAGCATGAAGTATTCACATACTTCCTTTCAATACGACTAGCGGAATTCATTTTTTTCACGTTGTAAAAAAGAAAACAAAAAAATTGTCGATGAATTTCGTTTGCGAGCTACTTTGTAATTTATTTATTTCAACTTAAAAGAAAACAAAGATTATTTTCATGCTGAATAATAAAATTATTTAAATTTGTCGATGTGTTTGAAGATTATTTATTTTTTTCGCTTTTACATGTTTTTTTTTCCTACACAAGCAATTTGGGCTCTGTATTTCAAGCCAACCTAAAGCTGGATCGGCTTCGTCAGTCAATCCTGTTGCAGACACGCCTCTGTAGTAAATAAGAGGTTATGTGGGCACCTTGAAGTGGAGTAATGGTTAGCAATTGCTAGAACAATTAAGTTCGATCCTCACTGGGAGCCCCATAATTTTAGCCTTATACCACATCTAAGCTACACTTATAAAATCGCCATAATAGGATGTGGGACTCGTCACGTGACATGGGGCATGTACGGTGAGCGTAACAATTTTATGGAAAGTAGAATCAGCAAACCTAGTCTTAATTCTGACCGTGTCTGCTACGTTCAATTCACACTAATGCCCTTGGAAAAGGCAAGAATTTATCCGTTCTACATCTTGCTATGTACTAAATAGCAGGTTAAACTAGACTCTTTAGTTTTGGGAAGAAGTTAATTTAGGAGAACAATGTTGAAATGGAAACTGAAGAGAAGGTAATGGTTAATTCCTGTATTATCTTTTGTAAGAAGTCATCTTAGTTTCCAGAAAATAAAGAATGAGGAAGAATGCTGAGATAGAGATTAACCATTCCATTCATATACACCAAAAAGTGCCTGTGGCTATTCAAGCGATTAACATAAATTTGAAAAAAAAAAACAAGCAGTTAGCGATAGCAGAACAAGAAATTCTAGTAACGTTGAAAATTAAAAAAAATTATTAGAGTTGTAGTAGCGAGAAATCTGTGAAAATTTAGAATAAAATTAAGATAATCATCTGTGTATAGATCGGTAGGGAGTATAAGACGCAGTCAACAGAAATTAAAAAATTCAAAGAAAAAATGTTATAAAACGCATCTGATTTTAGAAAAAACTTGTGAAAAGGGAAGCATAAGAAAAGAAAAAAAGGCAAATGGGACATTTTGGGAAGTCTTGTGATTCTTAAGCATTAAAACGTGATAGCGACTCTTTAGAACACTTAGTCGCCAATCTACATTGAGATAAGTAAATCTAAGTAAAAATTAAATAAATATTAACATGTTTGTTTGGTTTTAATCATTTTGTGATAATCTGAGGAATTTCTTTCGAAATCCGGGAAAATCTAGAACCGTACGGAACTTAGCGAAATATTATAAAATATTTATTTCCCTTTCTTGCAATGTCCCCTTAGACAGATATTATCTCTCCGGTAAACAAATAAAACAATTCGACCCGATTTTGTCTGTTTTGAGTCCTGGGAGAAAAATGGATTGAGTTCTAAATTAAAGATACGGCAGACACGTTTCTGGGTGAAAAAACAGGATTATGGTACTTATTCGCTGAGGATATGGCGAACACGGCCCACCACAACTTCCTACAGTAATAATATTGATGATAATAATAATTATTATTATTTTCGATAAAATAGAAAATAAATGAATACAAAAAGCGGAAAGTGACAAAGAAAGAAAGAAATCAAAAAGGAAAGAAGATAAAGAAAACATAAGGGAAAATAAGAAAGAAATGACGAAGAAAACGAGAAAGAAAGAAAGAAAGAAAGAAAGAAAGAAAAAAATATTAAGGCAGAAAGAAAGAATTGAAAAGAATATAATAATTGAAAAAGAAAGAAATGGAAAAGAAAACGGGAAAGAAATAAAGAAAGAAAGAAAGTAAAAGCAAGATAATTGTATTTCGACATCGAAGGAAGTTAACATAGTAGACAGAGAAATATGCTGGCGAGTCAGACGTCTGAAAGAATCCGTTTAGATTATAGGCTATGACGGCTTTTAGTAGGTTTAGAAATAAATACAATATGGGTGTCATTAATGGGAATTACAACAAGGCGTATAAAGCAGCAGCAGCCAGAGAAAGAGAAGCCATGATGAATACAACCACAGGTGACATCATTAGCAAGTAGAGTAACTATAAGACTACAAATTACAGACTGAGGATTGTCCCAGTGAAAATAGTTTAGTCAGTTAAATCGTTGGTTTTTGAATTTGTTAACATCGTAATTGATGAATTCAATGCCTTGATCGGCTTGTGTAGACTCAGACTCCGTGTAAGAGAGAAATATGAAATAAGATATGGAGCGAAGAATATGAATAAACCCCCAGCCTAGATTACTCGGTTCTGATGATTTCCGGCATTGATGATGGTATGTCTAAGATAACGACAATAGACTGAATGTAAATAATGTAAATAATAGAGAAGTGAGATTTCCTAATTACAGAATATTAAAATAGATTAATTATTCTTCGGATTCGTCTGGATACAAAAGACGAACCAAAAGAGATGCTTTGCTATGAATTTGGAAAATTAATCAAAATAATATATAAATCGAGAACAGTAATGGGTGGAAATTGCATGACAAAGTGGAAAAAGTTTAAATGTGACGCGTTTCTTTATCGGACTTACTTTGTTATGTTGGCATGACTACACATGCACACGGACGAGTGGTGCTGGCAATTTTAGAATTTATATTTCTGCTAGATAAATAACAAAAAATTCTATAATTCCCAGCATTCCCCTGTCATTCGCATTAATCCGATGAAGTCCTGAAGGACGAAACGCGTCACAAGTAAACATTTTCCACTATGTCAAACATATATATATATATATATATATATATATATATATATATATATATATGAAATAGACAAAGTCCGACAATTACTTTAAGGCATTGTTATGTTTATACATACTTTTTTATAGATACTAATATTTTAAATAATTGACGGACTTTGTCCATTTCATAATGTGTGACGTCATTTGTTTACATCTGGATACGCATCGAGCAGATATGAATGTACGTGAGAAATTCATGGAAAATTGTAGTTTAAAAAACAGTAAAATCGACCTTGCTAACCAAAACGCTCCTATGTGGAGAAATCGGTAAAAGCACGTCAAGCTATATGACAGTTCAGTATAGGGTACAGATTCGATCCCTGTTG